CAGCAGGGGGGCATCAGGAGACTGACAGACACAGGAAGAAGCGGACACAAACAGTGTGGTGTTGCAGTGACCAATACCCAAGCAGCATTCAACAAAGGTGCTCCGAACTGCACCGGCAGGAAGAACTCCACCATCAGCAAGTTCCACCCAAGATAGGTCAGGGTAGCCCTCAAACCTGACAGCATACAGATCAAAAACTCTACCAGTGGCACATCGGACACCATTTTGTACAGTGTGGCAAAAACTTTAGGACTACAGGGACATCAGCGAGCTATGCATACACTGAGCTGGGAGAAAACTCACTGAGCTCAGTGCATTACACTGGTCCCACATGGAAAATAATACCACCTAAAGCACCCAGACTTAACAGCCAACAGGTTCCAGAAAGATCTGCACCACCAACAACCTAGTTAGATAGGACACCTGGTGTCTCCCTAATCCTGGATACTGCTCAAACCTGAAGTGAGAGAAAGTCTGCACAACAACTGTGCAGCCTCAGACAGTATCATAGGAGGTAGAGAGTGGTGAGCCAGGAGCTGGGCCCATGGAGACTATGCTGGAAGTCTAACATAAGAACCCAGACCTGGAACTCGCTGGAAGAGTTGCACAAACCACTGCAAACAAAGAGCCATGTCCCAACCACAATAAGTAAAATCGAACTGTAAACCTGTGCCCCAAGGAGAAGACTCTGCAAGCAGAACGACAATGACAAAGAAGAGACAAAGGCACAATGAATCTGAAGACTCCCCCGCAAAGGAGCAAAACTCTTTGTCAACTTTAGAGCTCACTGAAGAAGACATTGAGAAAATAGGGGGATACAGAATTCAAAACACTTGTTATAAAGCTTCTTATCAACAATGAGAAGCGGGCTCGGCGCGGTGGCGCAGTGGTTAAGGTTCTCGCCTTGCACGCCCTGGATCCCATATGGGTGCCGGTTCTATCCCTGCAGCCCCGCTTCCCATCCAGCTCCCTGCCTGTGGTCCTGGAAAGCAGTCGAGGACAGCCCAAAGCTTTGCGACCCTGCACCCGCGTGGGAGACCCAGAAGAGGCTCCTGGCTTCAGATAGGCATAGTATCAGCCGTTACGCTCACTTGGGGAGTGAATCATCGTACAGAAGATCTTCCTCTCTCTCTCCTCTCTGTATATCCGCCTTTCCAATAAAAAAATAATAAAAATAAATCTTAAAAAAAAAAACAATGAGAAGCATGTAAAGCAGGCACTCAAGGAATTTAAACAACATGTCACACTGGAAATGAATCAAATGGAAGCTGATATATGAAAAATGAAAAATACAGTGGAGAGTCTCCAAAATAGAATGTAGGAAGCAGAAGAAAGAAATTCAGAATTGGAGGATATTTCCTGTCACCAGGTGAAAAAAACAAGAAGCTGGTAGAGCTAGGTCAAGCTAAGAAAAAGTATTCAATAATTCAAAAACACTATCAAAAAGGCCAAATATAAGAGTTATGGGAGTCCAAGAAAATACAGAAAGAGAATCTGGGTTTAAAAATGTATTCAATAAAATAATAAGGGAAATTTTCCCTAACATAGAGAAAGAATTGGGAAACAACATCCAGGAGGGGCAGAGAACTCCCAACGGGGCTGACCAAAACCCATCTTCACCACAACACAAGATAATCAAGCTCTCTTCAGTTGATCCTAAGGAAAAGATCCTTCAATGTACATGTGAAAAAGATCAAGTGGCATATAAAGGAATGCCAGTTAAACTTACAGAAGACCTCTCACAGGAAACTCTACATGCAAGAAGAGAATGGAGTGGCATATTCCAGATTCTAAAAGCAAAAGATTGTCAGACCAGGATAACATACCCAGAAAAGTTTTCCTTTGTCTTTGAAAATGAAATGAAATTTTGCACAGTAAAAAAAAGTTAAAAGAATAGGCCTCTTCCAAATCTGCCCTACAAAAATACTTAAAGATGTTCTCTTGACCAAGAGAAATAGCACCCACCAAAACCAAAGGCAAATGTGAAGAACATCACAGTAAAATAGCAATAGAAGACTAGACCAAATAACAGCCCATTGCTAAAATGACAGAACTAAATTACCACCCATTCATATAACCCTGAATGTAAATGGCTTAAACTCACCAATCAAACATCACAGTTTAGTAGATTAGACTAAAATAACAAAACCCATCTATTTGTTACCTACACAAGACATATCTCACCAACAAAGATCAGTGGAAACTATATTTCATGGATTTTGTTTTTTTTTCTTTAGTTTCATCTCTTAAAAACATTTTCTCATTAAATTCTTCATGACCCATATATCATACAGCAGCATCATTTTATTCAAGAAGGTTCTTGAGCTTGTTTTTCATCTCCTCAGTGACACATTAGTCATTCAGTAGCATGGTATTTAACTTTATGAGATTTTTAATTTCTTTTTTTTCTTTCTGCGGTTGATTTTGCTTTGTGACTTTTCATTTAAGGGGATGTACAGTAATGGTGCAATGGAGACTATCATATTCAGAAGCATCTTATTTAACCTAATGGCATTCTAAATTTTTATTTTTCTTCCTGTTGATTTTGTATTGTGGCTTTTCATTTAAGAGGATGTATAGGAACTGTGTAATGGAGACTACTATATATAGATGTGAGGATACAATGCAGTATGCATCTCTACTTCCAGACAATCATGGACTCACAATGCAACTGTTAACTATATCTTGACCATAGGATGCTGGACTCTCTGCCACTTTCCATGCCCACAATGATGGACATATGGCTTTTTATTAAGAACTATATTATATTAATAATATACAAGAACTCATTGGGAGAGGGGAAAAAGGAAAACCCACAGCCTATGGAACTATATCATAAAATGATAATAACAAAATGAAGTAAAAAAATGATAAGTCCAGCTAAAGAATATAATTCAATCTGATCAAATTGTTAAAAATTAAAATCTAAAACTTTATTCAAATGGCTAACAGACATATGAAAAAATGCTCAGGCTTCCTAACTATCAGAGAGATACAAATGAAAACCACATTGAGTCACCACCTAACTCCAGTGACAGTGGCCTACTTTCAGAACCCAACTAAAAACAACTGCTGGCATGGGTGTGGGGAGAAAGGTACCCTCATTCATTGCTAGTGGGAGTTCAGGCTAGTACAACCAATATGGTAATCAGTATAGAGAGTGATTAGAGAACTCCAGATAAAGCTGCCATATGACCCAGCTATCCCACTCCTAGGAATATACCCAAAAGAAATTAAAACTACACATGAGAAAGGGATTTGTAATCCTATATTTACAGCAGCACAATCTACAATAGCAAAGAAATGGAAACAACCCAGATGCCTATCCAAGAGGAGTGGCTAAGGAAACTGTGGTACATTTACTCCATGGAATATTACTCAGCCACCAGACTATACAGAATTGTATGATACATTTGAAAAATAAAAAAAAATAAATAAATAAATTTATTTTAAAAAAAGAGAATGAAATTACACATTTTGCAGTTAGATGATCCCAACTATAGACCATTATGCTTAGTGAAATAAATCAATCACAAAAAGGCAAATACCATATGTTCTTTCTAATATAAGGAATCCATCATGCAAATTGGAATGTATAGCGGTGGAGTAATGGAGACTACCATATACAGATATGAAGACACAATGCAACATGCATCTCTGCTTCCAAACAAAAGATAAACTCCCAGTGAAAGTGTTGGATATATTTAAACAATGGAATGATGCACTATCTTACACTGTCTGTACAGCAATGTTGGGGCACAATTAAATAATAGACTGATGGAACTGCAACTCCTTATGAAGAGTTTCTGATATTATGGGAAAAATCAATCGGGTGGAAATTGGGGAAGGTGGGGAATCCCAGACTATACAGAATTGTACAATAAATTAAAAAAAATTAAAAAAAATAAAAAGCAAAATGTCAAATTTAGCAAAACTAATAGCTTACTGATCAATACTTGCTTCAAAATCCTTCCTTACTGTTTCCACCAAACCAAAGCAAATGTAGGCCAAAAGTATGTCACAAACTCTGCTTACTTCTCTTCTCCTGTCTGTAAGACAATCTAATTTAACCACATCAGGTCCAAAAACTTAATTCTCTGTCACCTTTTGAAACAGTACTAACATGCTGTCTGAATTAAGTCTAATAAAACTAGCTTGCTTAATCAGCTTGAGGTAAAGGTCATCTTTTGGGGATCATCAAGAGTTAACAAGTAAAACAACAACTCTGATAATTCATTGTATCTTCTTATATTCTAATATTGTATTATGACAGGATGCTAATAAATTAATTACAATTTGACCTCACAAATGCATTTAATAGTACTCATGATAACATGGACATTAACGTGAAAAAGAATGTTCATTTAATTTGCAGTCTTTTGTTGATCATCATCAAGTTTTAATTTGCTTTTTAAATTGCTTTTTCAGAAAAGATAAAAGGTCCTAGATCCTAGAAACAGGATCACCATGGTCTTTTAAACTATTTTTAATAATAAAGAGAGAACAAAATTCATGTATTAAGTTGCTACTTACTTAAGCCTTTTTCATATAACTAGAATGCCCACTACTTAAAAAAGATATTTATGTAAATCTAAAAAAGATCATGCATTTTAATCAAAAGATCAATGTTTGATTTCACTGGAACCACTGGAATCACAGATTTCTCATAAATTTGTGATTTCATTAAAAACAGGAGATTTCAATGTATGTATAGAAACAAGTACATTTTAATAGTGGCATGAAAACTTTATATATATGTGTGTGAGTATCTGTTATGAATGATGCTTGTAAATAAACATTATTAAAATTAAGGAATTATGAATTCTTTAAAAATGTCAGAATATGACATTTGATCTTCAAAAGTATCTTATGCAGCTGAAAGTATTTATCAGTAAAATAATTAAAACATATGGAAAGGATAGCTAGTCATACATTTTCAGTATTTTCTGAAAAGCATTCTATTCTTGTATCACTGATAGGAAAGTAATTTATTGACAAACCTCATACGTTGCAGGGCCAGGAGTAGTCTCTTTAGGATATTCAAAACATTTTGATGCTTTCACAAAGAAGACTTTAGGACATGATTTCTTTAAAACAGGATTGTATGACGCAGGTCCTAAAATAAAACAAATATTAAAAAATTCAGATAGTACATTTTAAAGTTACTGATTTTGGTCTAATGTAAATTATTCTAAAGTCCATGCTCATCATGTGAAAAATAAGAAGAAATAATATTGAATATATTCTTTTTCTTGATTAATCAGTGTATTCATTTGATTAAAATGTAGGGGGTTGGATAGAGGTAGAGAGGGAGAAAAAGAGGAGAAAGAGAGAGAAAGCAGTAACTCCCTCCATCAGCAGTGTCACTACAAATATTTCCACTCTAGCCAGGTCTAATCCAGGCTGAAAACAGTATCCAAGAACTCAAAGGAAATTTCCATGGGATGGCTGGAACCCAAATATCTGAATCACAACTGCCTTCCCTTGAGCATTAACAGCAAGCCAGAATCATCCAAGAGTAAGCACTCCAAACCAAGTCCTCTGATACCTGATGCCATTATCCTCAACAGTGTCTCAAATAGCACTTTAACCACTGCCAAACACCTTAGATTTGCTCCATTGTTTCTGGATGCTTAAAATAATTCAGTTCAAGACTTTTAAATATGGTAGGCATAGGGGATAGTGCAGTTGCACTGCAATCTAATCCTCTATCTAAAGTAGATCCCACATGAGTACTGGTTCAAGTTTTACATGCTCTACTTCAAATCCAGCTCCCAGCTAATGGCCTAGAAAAGCTGCAGAGGATGACCCAAGGCCTTAGGCATTCACACGGGAAACTTGGAAGGAGCTCCAGGCTTCCAGCTTTGGATTAGCTCAGCTCCAAATACTGTGCCCATTTGGGGAATGAACCATAAGACTGAATCTCTATCTCATAACTCCAACTTTCCAGTAGAATAAATCTTTAAAAAAAAAAGATAAATATGAAATTGTGTATCTATTTACATGAAATTAAATGTAGTACTGCTATAATTTTTTTAAAAGAAAGAGTATTTATATACATATATATCCATATATTCTTATATATATAGGTGTATATGCATATATATGTCTATATGTATATACACACACATCATAAAAAAAGCCCTAGCACTACATGTTCAATCACATGTAAGCTGAGGAAACAATGTGAAGCTATATTTGAAAAATGATTAGCACATAAAGAAGCAGTTAGAAAGAAGCAGGAAGCTGGCTTAACAACATTCTGCATATTGAGAAACATATGAGGTAAACACAAAGAGGGACTTTACATGGAAACAATGTAATACATAATAAATACAAACAATATACATGAAATAGTAACATACAAACTAGGCATAAAGATGGAATTTACAGGAAAGATCAGAATATAACAAAAAGTACAAAATATAAACAAAATAATACAGGCAATATATAAGCTAAACACAAAGATGAAATTGACATAGATTTCGTATACCAGAGGCCCCACTTCCCATCCAGCTACCTGTTCCTGAGAAACCAGTTGAGGACAGCCCAAAGCCTTAGCATCCTGCACCTGCCTGGGAGACCCAGAAGAATTTCCTGGCTCCTGGCTTATGATTGGCTCAGCTCTGGCCACTGAGGCCACATAGGGAGTGAAACAACGGACGGAAAATCTTCCTCTCTGTCTCTCCTCTTCTCTGCGTATCTAACTTTCAAATAAATAAATAAATATTTAATTTGTTTAAATATAGAATTTAAAAATAAACTGTTCAAATGAGTTAGGCCTAATCCCTAACAGAGATTTTGTACTTTACTTAAAGCATTTCATCCATATAGTATGATGTCCAAAATTCTACAGAAATTATCAGACTACAATTTTTACTGGAAGAAATAAGATGACTCATGAAATATTTAAATTAAAAAGTCATGAAGAAGGCGGTAGATTCATAAGTATGGTCCAGCAATAATTCATAGGATGGTATGATTTAAAGCTGGTTTGTTTCAATATCATTAATAAGGAATGTATGAACACCAGTAAAGGAAAGCAATAGCAACAAAACACTTTCTAAGACATGCAAGAAATATTTAATATTAACAATGAGTAGAAGAATATAAAATGACTAGTGGATATATAAAAATTTAAACTACAACAGAAATAAGCACAAGCAAAAAAAACTATTGGAGAGGAACAGCATTTGAGAGCTTTTCTTTTTAAGTCAATTTCTACTGAAAAAATAGTAAAAAATTTTCTTCAAAGAAATTTTCTTAACAAAAAGAGAAAATTAGTAACAGAGTATTAGAACCAAAAAATCTAGAGATGCATACAAGGTTGTTTGAGAAGTAAGGAAGGACATGGTGCAGTGTATAAAATTCAGCGTGTAGACTCAGAAAATAAGAAATTAAGCAGTTATTTTTTCTTAATTAACATTTTAACCAAAAGTTATTGGTTATCTATCCAACATCTGCCAAGCCTTGTTTGTGAAGCAAATATTAGAATTCTACCAAAAAAATTGGATTGTCATAAGAAAATCACAATAAATCAACTTTACAAAAACAGTAAATAAAGAAATTAGAGGGTATTAAAGAGACACTTTGCAGAGAGAAGAAATAAAAATTTGGAGTATCAAATATTGAAAATGAACATGAATATCAAAAGACTACAGTAGGCATGGAGAGATTAACAAGCTATAAGATTAACGGCTCCACATCTCTCTAATAACCTAAATACAAAAACCAATTACTGGACCCAGCGCAATAGCGCAGTGGTTAAAGTCCTCGCCTCAAATGAGCCAGGATCCCATATGGGTGCAGGTTCCCATCCAGCCGCCTGCTTCCCATCCAGCCGCCTGCTTGTAGCCTGGGAAAGGAGACAAGGACAGCCCAAGGCCTTGGGACCCTGCACCTGCGTGGGAAACCCGGAAGAGCTCCTGGCTTCTGGCTTCGGATTGGCTCAGCTCCAGCCATTGCGGCTGCTTGAAGAGTGAACCATCGGATGGAAGATCTTCCTCTCTGTCTCACCTCCTCTCTGTATATCCGCATTTCCAATAAAAATAAATAAATCTTAAAAAATTAATTTGAAGAATATATTTCTTATTGATACCTTACAAATTTTAAATATTTTAGTACTGGCAGCTTGATAGTAAACATTTCCAATGTTTTAGCTCATTGAAGTAAACTATTTCTTTGTGTTACCTCTAATGACAAAATAGATTTTAATCAACACAAATTATCAAGTTTTACAGAGTTCCCATAAATTTTCCCCTATTACTATCATATATACTAATTAATTTGTCTCATTACATAAGTCATACAGTTTTAAATTTAAATAACATATAAGCTATACCTCAATATGTGCAGTTTTAATTCATTTTATGACATTCATATTCAAAGTTATAAACCATTGTAGGACCCTATTCTCTTTTGTTTTTCCAAGTGACAAATACTACTTTTGGAATAATGTAATCTTCAGGGTAGAGGAATTAATACATTTATACATACGGAGTTTCTTTACAGATAAACTCCCATAACCTAAACTACAGGTGGGAAAATGCATTAACTACCCCTAAATTCTGAAAAGAACACAAGAACCATCGGAAACTGAGAATATAATTCCACAGTTAATTAACTCAAAATTACAGCTTCAGCCATAAAAATACATAAAGGTTAATGCAACAGGTAAGACTATTATAGAAACACAATTGTAATAATAAGTTTCATTTTCAGTTATGAAGAAATACAATTTATCCCTTGTCCTTGCTATAGCAACTGATAAATATTTAACATGCATGGTTATAACTCGTTAAAAGAAATTATTCAAATAAAGCTGTAGTGGATTTTTATTGGAATTCCTTTAGGAGCATTAAGTGAAGCAAAACTCTTAATATGCATCTTGCTGCATTTTAGCACTAAGCCTGCTTTAAGTCTCAGGGCTTTTAAGAAAAAGTTTTATTGCACTTAATCTTAAAATATATTTCTAATTACATATACTGCAGCTTATGTGATGCAGGTCAAAGACTTACATTGCTTCGCCAGTTCTGAATCACAGCTGGATTATGCAAAAAACATCTTATATTTATATTTCAAAATGTCACATTTTAATCATAGGTCATGGAAGAAGAAAACTTCTCATTCCAAATCAAATGCCTATGAAAAGTCGAACTGAATCATTACTGGTATATAATGGAAAATTCAAGAGCAGGTGATTCTTATAATTAGTTATTTTTCATCCCTATGCCAACTCAGTCGCTGTGAAATGTCAACCAAAGCTACAGGGCAAAAATGGAAGAGAACAGGAACAATGAGTAATCTAACAGAATCTACCCTTGTGTCTCTTTAATGTGGGCATTTTAGCATCTGAGTATATTAGCTGGATGCAGAAAAACCACTCCAATAAAGTGACAGACATCAGATGAAAAAGAAGACTCTCTTATAACAATCTAAAATTTATAAGTCACATAGTTGTTCTTACAAATACTAAGTCCTTTCTTCATGTGAAGGTGAATGAAACCACTAAAAAACAAATATCCTATATGTGATCATGTCTTAAGGAATTAAAAAGCATTTTGGAAATCGTTATATAAAATGGCATGGCTTTAAAATGACATTTACAGAGCTTATATTGTTATGCAACACATTTTATCACCCTAGTTTTATTCTGCAGCTTTACAGATGAAGTGATAGCAAAGACAAAAGATTAGTACACAAAAAAAGTATCATCAATGTTCAAGTACTTTTTAGGTCTAATACTCTTTTATTGCTCCTAAGACTATATTTGATTAAATAGCACTTCATATTACATCCAGCGAACTTCAGGCTTTTAAACTGAGCTTACAAGTAATGAGGGGAAAGAAAATAAAACACTGTCTATACCAGATTTTAACCAACATTTCCAACTTGTACTACTATCCTGTTTATTTCTGGGACCCAATATAAAAGAGTACTATGTTTTAATGAATAGAATTTTAAACACTTCTTCAAAGATGTCTTATATTTAGCAGAGTATTAGAAATAATTGCAGACATAGGATTCTCCATACCAAAATGCACCAAAATGTAAAGTACTCCAAACTAAACTGAAGAAGAGATGCTTCTGCTAAAGTCTGCTAAGCCATGCATGTGT